TATGCTCTCATGACTTCTGACCCACTTGAAATGAAGGAACAGGATTGTTTACCATATTGCAGAATCAGTATTCAGTTACCAGTTTTATACTTGAATTAGTGTATCATTCAGGCAGAGATATGGACAGGTTGCTTCCAAAATAATTTTATGAATTAAGGTGGCTTTTCTAAAAAGAGCTGTTTCTTCCTTCTCTCCATAGCAGCAGTGTGCAAACAGCATCGGAAATTATACTATACTATACTTTATTCAAACAATTGCTTAGACAATTAGGATTAAACTGCTAAGGCAAACAGTGTCTGATCCAGCTGGAGACAGCTTTTTGAATAGCAGAAAGTTCCCTACAGTGAAGAATGATAGACTAGCAAAAATCTTAAAAGAAATTTCAGGCTCCCATAAACAATTCAGAGAACCTGAACAATAGGTAGATATTGCATCCATACTGCAAAGGATGAAGCAGGACCTGGACGTAATACTTTTTTAGTAATTGTCTGTCTAATGATCAGTATTCAAATAATATTGTATAGGTTGGCCCTTTTGCAGATACCCTTGCATTTTCTGTCTGTGCTATACCTTAGCAAATGCTGAGAAATTAGGAAGTGAATGAGACCTTTAACTAAATGTTGTTGAACTGTGATTCTGATCAGAACCAAACCTTCTGGCAGCTCACATCAAAGAGTATAGAATAGGCAATGTCCTAAAATAACAGAACATTCAAATGTTAGGCATAAAAGACACCAAGTTCCCCTTTCAATTATGTTGTCCCCTAGACTTTTGAGGTCATCTGATCCTACTTGAAATGCAATAGAATTCAAACACAGAGATACAGAATTGCTTTTAAACAATGCAGCTGAACACTTGAAGCATTTAATGACTATACATTCCTCAGATCTCTTTCACCTTCTTATCCCTCAAGAAAACAATCCCAAACCAATAAAAAACCCTAAGAAACTCCAGCCACACTGCCAGGCTAAACTAGGAGCAGCTTAAACAACAAGAGAACAGAAGCTAAATTTTGGTTTACATCAGTTGATTGTGGACAATGAAAACTAATTTATAGTATACAGAAACTATGCTATAAAGATCTATTACAGACTTTAGCAAAAGATATGAAACATTAGACTTGCTGATGAACTTGGATACAGTCTTGTAACCATTCTAAAGGACCTGCTTGGAAAGCAAAATTGGTCTGTTCATTCAGTCTGTTCCTCCCCCATTGCTGGCTGTTGTTTCTTTCTTCCTTAGTCTTCATTTGTCTTCTGATAAAAGCCAAGAGGACCTATTCTTTGCCCTTCAAATGCAGGTTGCTCCTTTTTTCAGAGGGTATCTTAATGCCAATTAGGTCATTGATTTCATTTTTCATTAGACAGTGAGCTGATAGTTATTTAGGTTTGGGACTGCCCTCCTTTCAGTACTAGAAAATAATCTGTGTTCTTCTGTGTTTCTTTGCTAGTCAGCAGAGTTGCTCTTTTTCTGCTAAATCTTGCCTGTGCCCCTTCTTCTGTGTGTGTTGCATCCACCCCCTCACAATATTTTTGTCTCTGAGACTGCCTCGCAACATAGAGTACTCACTGTTGCACTTTAAAAAAATTTTTATAAACTTCTAGCTGGTGAGCCTGGCAGTGTTGTCCCAATCTCCTCCTAATCTATTTTTGTTCATAATACTGCATTCACTCATAGTTTCAGTAGATATGCACGCAGTTTCCAGTCTTTGCAGCAGGATTTCAAAATGTAGATTCAGACTGGTAAGACAAAGAACCTTGTTTATAGTCAGTGAAAACTGTAATCATTGTAAAGAACACCAAGAAATTTGGTAACAGGTAGGAGCTGTCTTACTTGTAGTCATCTGCCTTATGGTGCTACTGTCTCTGACTCCTTCCTTGAATTTAGCACTTATAGCTCTATGAGAAAAAAAATAAATATCTCCAAATACTTTAAGGAATGACTAGTTGCAAAAGCTTTCTGCCAGGTCTGTATTTGATTAAAGATATATATACTTGCTGTAACACAATTTTTTTGCAGAGTGTGTGCAAGTTTGTGGAAGCAACAATAAAAATAATGAGCACAGTGCTCTGCCTGAATAAGCACAGTGCTAATGTGGCTACAAAGCTTCTGGTAGGTAGGCAAGTTCATTACAAGGTCAGTCCCATGATGTATCTGTAAAGAATGCAGAAGAATAAAACATAGGGAATATGGCTCCATATGGATGACTCATCAGGTTTAATAGCATTATTGTCACTTGAAGATAGTCTCAGGAAAACAGAAGATGTTCAAATGTTCCTGCCCTACCAAGTACTACTGCTAATCCTGTCAATCACCACTAAAGCCCTGTTTCCAGACCTGCTCACGCTAATTTAGAAATACATCCTCCTCCCAAGAAGGAAAAGAATTTGTACTTACATTTTTCCAGTTTATTCCAGGAATGGGAATAGACAGTGTAACTGTTAATTCCTCAGCAATGGAGAATTTCTTTTCCCTTGCTCCTTTGTGCTACTCCCAGCAGACTGTCACATCAAGAAGTCCATTTTAACTCTTTCCAAGCTGCCATCACACGTCAATTCTCCTTTATGATGCTGCTTTCTCTTCTGCCTTGAATCTAATTTGCATGGTTCTGTCCTTTTCTCATAGCTTTATTCCTGCTGTTAGAATTACACCACCTTTCACTTTTCAAGTAAAATGGTACTCACCTAAAATTAAAATAATGGATTACACCATTCATAACTATTTTGCAACAATACTGATGTTAACAACTGTGAAAACAGTCAACAGTTTTCAGTGCCACTATTAATAGGTTCATTCCAGTAAGATAAGATAGGAAGGGGCTTCCTGTAACAACAAAATTTTTGTGAGGTTTGTAAAATATTCTCCTCTTCTTGCATCTATCACACTTGGGATAAACCCAGTTTTGCAGTTTTAAGTTTTAGAAGGGGATTATGCTCCTTTTGAATACCTCACCCAGTGTGCTTGAAACCACAAGGTAAAGAAATTCTGTGCCAACTGACACTTTTTTTAGCTATACCATCATCTTAGTTCAACTACAGAAAAGTTACCATTTATTTAAATTCATGAAAATCATGAGACTTCCACATCCTGCTTGCTTCTTTCATATTATAAACTGGGTAATTTATGTTACCACTGTTCCTTGTCCAGAGAATGCATTTAAGACTAAGTGACATGCAAATGGTAGATGTTTAAAATATTTTGATTCTACTCATGCCTAGGTATGTGTTTTTGCATAATTACACAACTGATGATTTATTGAGCTATATTATGGATTCCTTCAGGGTTTCCTCTCACTAAGCATATAGTGTCTTTTGGCTGAATTACAGTGTGACGAAAGCCATGCATAGGGAACCATAGTGTGCTTTCCAAACAAGCATCCACAGCAGGCTTTATTTCTGTGTATAAATAAATGTTAGGGGTCCAAAACAATATGGCAGGCATTTCACAGTTCCCATTCATCAATGTTTCCAAACAACTTTCAATTTAGCAAGATGGTAAATTAAGATGGTAAATACTACATGCAAGGCCACTGCATTGTTCTGTTATTGTTAATCTTACTATTGAAAATAGGTGAGTCTGCTGTGAAATTTGGATTTTCTTTTGGCAATACACTTGAAGAAAATAGTAATGCCAAGAGCAAGCATTCAAATATACAAAAGTATTTCAAAAATACATAGCTCACAAGATACTTTAAAAACAAGATATTTTTCATATTTTCATTTTATTTTTTTTTTAGAAAAAGCAAATAAACCACTGTGAATATCAAGAGTCTACTTTTTTTGGAAAGTGCAGTTCACATGACTAACAGCTGAGTTTCTGACAGGGAAAAAACAGTCGCATGAGTAAAACTGAAACTTGGTAATTCTCATGAATAAAAGTAAGAAGTGGGCAACCTTGAACTGCCAACTATTTAAAAATCCCCAGGGAAATTAGAGAACTTCTACAAAGCCCTGCAGCCACAAGAGCATCCTCCCTCCCTCTCCTTGCAGCTTTGCAAGAAACAAAAGAGCAGGTTGGTGAGAATATAAAGTTGCTGTTTTTTTTCCACATCATAGTAGTATTTTTGCATTTATTTCATCTTCAGTGTTAACCATTATTTTTTCCTTTGTGTGCATTTTCTGGTATTGGCAGTGCAGGAAAGAAATATATCTTGGTTCTAGTCCTATCAAAGTAAGGTGCCTAAGGTTAACTTAGTAACTCTGAAGCCTAGTTAAGCAAACAAGAACACCAAAAGAACAACGTTTAAAGGAGAAGAAACAAACTTCACACAGGAATCTACAAATGCCTTCAAACACCGAGCTTATGGAGATGCTGGCACAAGAGAGGGATGGGCCAGTGCTACCCAGGCTCAGCTTCTGAGGTGTGTTCCACAATTTGTATCTTAACAAGAACATAGGTAGTAAACATTCAGATGTCTCTTTCTAAACAGCCTGAGCAGGAAAAGATGCTGTACGTCTTATTGGTGCATCGGGCATGCTGCTTAGTCAAAACTTAGTCAAAAATGTAAGAAAATACTTAAATGAACATTTGCAAAACTGCTGTATCGAGCTCAGTGGAAGAAAAAAAAAACAAAAACAAAAACAAAAGCCGTGCCTCGGCAGAGACGAAGCAAAAAGCTGCCTTGAAAAACAACGCCCCAAGTTCTGCGGCCTTCAACTTCTCCCTTCGGCACGCACAGAAGTTCAGGCCGCTGTAACCAAGGCCCGGCTTTGGCACCCGAGCCCTCCCGGCCCGAATTCATCAGGGCCGGGCCTTGGCAGAAGTCCGAAGGCGGTCATGACCGCCCCAGCTCAGGTAAGCAGGGCAGCACCAAGAGTAGCGAAGGGCCGCGCCGGGGCGGGGAGAGGATGGATCCGGCCCCGGTAGGGGCGGCCCCGGAGCCCGCGGCCCCAATGGGCGGGCGGGGAGCGGCGGCGGCGGCGCACGTAGCTCTCCCAAGATGGCGGCCCGTCCGGACCGAGCTGCCAGGGCGGCTGCGGGGCTGGGGGCGGCGGGCAGCCGCTGAGGGAGGTGGCCGGGGACCGGCGGAGCTCGCCTCGCCTCCCCTCCCCTCCCCGCCGAATAGGGGGAGTTTTCCGCGCGGCCGCCGGGCTTCACCATGCTGCGGGGTTAGAGCCGCGGAGACGCCGCAGCGGGGTAATAATGTTAGCAGAGGTAAGAACGCTGCTGAGGCCGGTGGGCTGCGGAGGGGTGGGAGGGGCGCGTCGCCCGGCCGGGCGAGAGGACCTGCGCCGGAGCCCTGCGGGATGAGGGTCTGCCCTCAGCCGGGGCCCCCGAGCTGCGTCGGTAGCAGGCAGCACGCCCCGCAGCCGTGCAAGGGGCAGCGCGGGGCCCCCGTTATCGCCCTGCGCCTCCCCCGACCCGGAGCCGCCAGGGCGAGGCAGGGCGGGAGGGGAGCGCTCTTGCGGTGCACCCGGCTCTCCGTGCTCACTCCGCGCGGCGGCACCAAGAGGCCGGGCCGGGGCGGGCTCTCCCAGTACGAGGCCGCGGGGCCGCTCCTCCGCGGCGGGCGGCGGTTCGGCGAGATACCTGGGCGAGAGGCCTGCCTAGGCCTCGCAATGGGGGTGTGCCCGGCTGCCGGTTCGTGCTTCAGCCCCCGGCCGAGAGAGCGTGGGGCAAAGCGCTTCGAAGCCCTTCTGATCTCCCCGTCGTCAGTGGCTTTGCTTAGTGTTTTCTTTCTTCTTAAAGGGCTTAAGCCAAGCAGTTTTGCCTCTGCTGGGTGTAGGCATTTATAGAAGTGAGTTGCATCTCCCTGAGGGGGTCAGCCCTAAAACAGTGGGACTGACCCGAGGGGATGAGTCAAATGTGTGTCTGAGGGTCGGTGTGGATTGAGGGAGGCTGACTGTTGGAAAGCGGTCGGGGGAAGCTTGTGTGGTGTCAGCTGCGGTAGATGGGACTTTCCCCTGTACTTAGTTTTGTCTACACAGACTGATTGATTTTCTATTTTTAATGTGTCAACAAGGTGCCTGGCATACAGACACTTCGCAGACATGGTGATTACGTTACCTGCATTACGTGTTTTCAGTTTATCATTTTATCCAGCACTGAAGGTTATTTGTCCAAAGTTGAATTCTCTTAAGTCCTAAGAGTCTTAAGGGATGAAGACTTGCATTCTGGCACTTGAGAAATTCAGCTTTGCTTTCCTCAATGACAACTAAAAAGGTATACTGACACTTCTAATTTGCATCAAAGTTTCAGAGCATTAGACTAGTTATTCTGCAGTGTGCTGAGCTCCGAGATTCCCCCAGGAGGATAAAATTTGCTGAATGAGTTAAACATGTAAAAATACAGGACTTATTTTTGCACACAGGATGTTTATTGAGTGGTCAGCATTAATGATCTGCTTAAGTGTTGATAGGAGTCATGCATTAGCAGTGCTAATTTAGATTATTTTAAGGGTAGCATAGAATGTTCTGGGTCATTGCCTCATTCGACTGTTGGTTCTGTTTGGTGACGTCTGTGTGTGCCTTGACAAATGGCACTGGTATAGCAGCATGGATGATATTTCAGCCATTGACTTTAAGAGATAAAAGCTTGAGCTTATGCACATAATAACCAGTGGTAAATAACCTTGGTGTCTATTTGGAAGACTAGATTCTGGTGTCCTTCTAGCTTCCATATATAAACTCATTGTAAACATGATGCTTTGAGATGAAGCATTCCATGCCTGGTATCTGCCCAGAAGACAAAGTTTTAAAATTTTGGGGTGTCCAGCAAAGTTGCAGGCTTTGATTGGCCAGAACGACAGTTGTGGGGAGGAGTTCTTTAAACAACCAGACAGCTGTGCAGTGGCAACAGCAATGTTGGCAATTTAAAAATGAACAAGAAAAACCTTCTGACATATGAACTGGAAGGAATCATTCTCATCATGCTTTTTTTGGCTGTTCCAATTGTGACTTGGAAGCAAAATCATCTTGTGAAAATTGTGTACATGCCTTCAAACTGTTTCACACTTCACAGGAAAGTGCAGATTGCTTCAAGCCTACTAATGCATATACAGTATTCTGTGAATTCTTAAACTTTTTTTTTTTTTTTTTTTTTTTATAAATCACTTTATCAGTGAGAAATTAGGTGGAGTATATGGTTGGCTGTCAGGTAACACAATTGTGAGAACTGTGTGTGATTTGAGGCCAGATAAATTTGAATATCTGAATGCAGTACCTCCGAAAATAGAGACACTATGCTACTAACTTCAGGAAGGAGGATCACTGGACAGCCATTAAGTCTTTTTTATTTTTATTTTTTCCTCTCTCTATCTAGTTATTTAAAAGCAATACACAGTAAAATATCAGAAAACCTAATTTGTGGACTTTGCTGCTTAAAATGACCAGGCTCATTTCTTTTGCACTTTTTCATTTCTTCACTAGGAACTTGGGAAGAAAATCCTGCAGTCAGTGACAGTTTTATAAAGTAAATATTTAGGAAAAAAAATATTAAGTCTGCGTTGTTGAGCCTGAAGAAAAGGCAGAATCTGGTTCTACATGTACTCTTATCACACAGTAAAAATGTAATGTAGTTTCTCAGAATCAATTTCCTACATCCTTGGACCGTTTCAACATATGCAGACTCCAGCAGATTCAGTCCAGTTCTGATACAATTGGGATATAATCAGTAATTTCAGGGGAAGATCGCAGTTCCTGTCCAGAAAAAGTACTAGGTTTTATTTTTTATTTTTGTTTTCACTTTTTTCCCCTTATGCACATCTTATTTCAGTTGCATCAGAGATCACACTGCTGGGTGCTAGACAAATATATTTATTTACCTACCTGAAGACCACTCCTCCCCTGTTTTTCATCTTGGCCACTGGAACTCAATTCTGCAGTCATATTAAATACATTCTTTCTGTGGCGTTCAGAGTGCTTCTGCAGTGGCTGCTTCTCCAGTTGGCTGGAGTGTTGACCCTTGTGACTTTTCACTTGTTTCCTTCTTGCTTGTTCATCAGATGTCTTCTTTGCTTTTCAAGACCCACTGAATCTTGTTTCCACGTGACTTCCAACTTCAGCACTCAGTACTGGTTTTCTTTGAAGTTATGATGGATACAAGTTGCCCTCGTCCAGCTCTTGTGTCTTCACAGCTGTCTTCACCAATCTTGACTTCTGTGCAGTGACAGCTGTCCTGCTCTCACCACAGCATGGCAGCTGGTGTTCAACAGTACTGACTGGTGCTGGTTAACGTTACCTTAAATTCAGACTGGGAAAAACATTAAATTGGATTTCAATGATACTTAGTTCACAAGATGTATTAAAATTAAAAATGGCAACTTGCAACCAAGTGGCAGTCAGTATTGCCTCTGGAAGCATAAGCTTTAGAAAAAAAACGAGGAGCATCTTCCTTGTCCAACTACTTATTAAACTGGCAATTACATCCTTCTGAGTTTGTCAGCATTTAGTTTAATTCTTAGCAAGCGAGTACTGTGTTGTAGTCACTGTCTAGTGACAGCTGAGGAGCTTTTGAAATTTGACCGAGTATGAAAACTTAGTTTTTCCTTCCTTGTCTACAACTGAAAATGAGCCCTTCAAAATGAACTCTGAGATGGTGGTATTTCTTGTTACTGCAGCCTGACGGATAACTCACCAGCAGCAAGTAGTACATTTTCTTTCAGTTAAACTGTATTTTATACGTAAAAGCTCTAGAGCAAACTTACTCTTGTTGAACTTTGATAGCTGCTAAGCCCTGAGAAATGTTTTCAAGGAAAACAGCAAATTAGTCTGGCTTATAACAATAAAAATTGACCCAGCAGCTTGTTTTGACTTACTCCAGAATAATAATGAATTAGCCTTATTGAAACAGTAGCATATTGTAATGTATATGTTCCTCCAGCCCTGAAAGAGGAAGCATGCAGTGAACTGTACTATAACATTGTTATTTTGTTGTTGTTCTCTGATAAATAGCTGTGGAAGGCTGCTCTAATGCTTTGTGTAGCTGAACTATGATTTGCTAGCAGGGGCAATTTGAAGTGTGCAGACAATTAACCAGGACGCAGAATTAAATTAGTTTTCTGTCCTTCTGTGAAACTTTTGTGTTGGAGTGCCTGTGGTTTGTGACACAATATCTATCTGGAGGAACAGTTGCAAACCTTTGGGAGGTAAAAATCCTGTCTTCCTCTTTCTTTTTGTTCTGTAAATGAAATCTTCCCAGTCCCTAATTGTTGTTATGACAACTATTTTCATAACTGAATTCTGTGGGGCCTCAGATAAAATTAGTTCAGGAATGGTAAAGTTGGGAAAGCTAACATTATAAAAAGAATGGCTGCTACGTGTTCCTAATATTTGTTTTTAAATGTTTTGTTAACTATTAGGGGAAGATAATGTTTAAATTCTGAGAACTGTTCTTATTTAGGTGGCCACAAACTGCTTAGGTTGAATGCAGAGTTGTGCAGCAGTTCTAAAATGTCAGTCTGTACAATTCCCCAAAACAGTGTGGTAAAGGAAAAGTGTAAATTTCCTTAGTTCAGTAAAAATAGTAACAGCTTGTCTGCTTAGATAGCTGGAAGAGCTCAAATGTTGGTAGTGCTCTTGGGGAATCAACTCTGGTTTAAATATGTTTGTTCCTTTATCTCCGCCCTAACAAAGATGACAAAGCATGTTTTCATTTGAACTAACATTAGGAGAATAGCTATTATTAGAAATGAGAAACTGGCAGCGTAGTGTATAAGTTATTGGTAACACTTGAGAGTTAATATTTTGAAGTCCCATTAACACTTCTCACTGTCACTTGGCCGAAAGCATCAAGGCTGAAATAATAGAAAAATCAATTGTAATTGGCGCTTCCAGTTACACGAGAAACTTCAGGAAGCACAAGACATCATGATCTTGGACTTAATTGCTTGTTCTCTCTTTAAAATTATTATTCCATAAATAATGTTTTTGATTTCTGAATTGGAGGAATGAGACGTTATTTCATTATGTAAACATATGGGAATGTTTGACAGGAACACTCTAACCTTGTTTACATAAGTTCAGTAGTTTCACCTTAAAACGATGACAGTGTAATTATGATCATATTTATGAGCATTTATATGCATTTGCTTCTAGTGTGAGTTAAGTGTAGGTGGTGAGTATGTTCAGCTAGGGACTTCCTCTATTGCTGTCATTTATTTTGGATATATGTCAAATTCTATCCTCTTGGAGTTTGGAAATACCTGTCAAGCATTT